AGTTCCAGATTAACATCTTAAACTGTCTCTGCCAGAGTCTTGGAATTGTCTGTTTCTCCAAGGAGCCCTGGTTGATTTTCCTGGAGAATGGTATTTAGAAACCAAGATCTGAACACTTATTGCACTCATTGCTATTGATGTGTTGTTTCTCCCCAGCTCTCTTAGCAGTTAGAACTAAGGAACGTATGTATGTGTATCCACATTTAAGTCTATATTACTATATATACACACACACAAATATATGTGTGTATGTATGTTTTTACAAAACCATGGGGTCACACAACTTCCTCTCCTTCCAGCCTATTACAGTTTCATTCTAGTTTTCTCCCTCTCCATATTTGTAACTCTCTTTTGTTTTTGTTTTTTGAGATGGAGTCTCGCTCTGTCATCCAGACTTGGAGTGCAGTGGCACAGTCTTGACTCTCTGCAGCCTCTGCCTCCCAGGTTCAAGGAATTCTCCTGCCTCAGCCTCCCAGTAGCTGGGATTACAGGCATGAGCCACTGTAATGACTCTCAGACTCTTTTTTTCTGACAGCGAAAAACCTGGCTTCCATTATCCTTTCACTTATTTTCCTGTTTAATCAGTTATGTCCAGCATGCATGCAGGTACACACACGCCTTTCTTTGAATGCAGAAGGACTTTGTCTCTGAATGTTGGGTTTCCACTCCAGGGGCACACTCGTCACTCTGCTTTGAGTTGAATCTTTGTGCTGAGCTCTACCTGCTTATTGGGTTCCCTCCTCCTCCTTCATGGTCTCTAATCCCCAACATAGGACTACCTTTAAAACTTGCTCATAGTTTAATTAGAGCACTAATGAGATGATAATTAGTATCCTCGGAGATAACTTGGACAGCCCAGGCAAGTACTTCAGTGTGGCTGAAGGTTTCCTCAGAGATAGTAAAAAGACACAAACCAATACAGAGGAAATGCTGACTTGACATTGCCGAGATACAATGCAGAAGAGTGGAGCTCTGAGATAGATGGGCTACCGTTAAGATAGGCACGGG